AGGCAGCACACTAACCAACCAAGCCACACTTGCTCCTTAAAACAAGTGTGTGAGGTCACTGAGGATCAAACTATGGACCTCTTGCTTAGCAGACTTAGCGTCCATTACTCCTAAGCTCTATATTTTATGATAAATGAATATTAAATCTTCTTTTAGGAGAGTATCAGTGAGTCATCTACGTTAACAAGTCCACCAAACTACTGCTATGTGCTGACTGTGCAAGATTCTAGTCAAGTTACGTCACTACCTGAYGATGGACGTCAAGGTAAGTGGCGTTGAGCTATGTCATTTCGAACGATGAAAGTCGTGAACGATAAGCCATTAGGGACCGTTCATTTTTTATCAGGAAGGGGGGGGGGGCGGTGGAATTTCAGCAAGAGCCCATACAAGAAAAACTAGCCCCCCCTCTATATTGCTGTTGACATCTGCTGCCCCCCTCATGGTCTATACCTAAATGGCTCCCCTTTTGATATTGATTTTTCTACATTTGGCCCCCCTCTATAAGCTGAATTTTTTTACATGCCCCCCCCCCCCAGATTTCCACCGCGTAGGTCGTACTAAAGGTCTCTAATGTCTTTGATGTTGTATTTTCTCTAGATCTATCCTCTCTSTACGCCCCACCAATGTTATCGAATATAAGAGCAATGTTTATCCACAATGAAGAAACCTCCAAGAGATGCGCCGTCTGGTGCCGAATAATCTGTTCTCGGCCCAACCTCACTTCCACAAGACCCAACACAAATTATCCGAGCTGGACTGGGAAGGTTTTAGTGACTGACGTATCGCTGCATCGCCAACCACAGGAATCCCAAGATAGAGATTCTGATGAATCTTTACCGCGGTATGTGAATTTGGAAGTGCGTCCATCGAATGTGCTGTCGGAATCTGTACTGAAGGCTGTGAGTGAAGCTGGGAGTGTATTGTATATAGAAGACGTGGCGTACACTGGAAAAGGTATTGGTTTCGTTTTTACTGAGTGATCAAAACAATAAACGGAAAGAGCGCACGTGCGCAGGTTGAAGACGCACGGGAGTAGGGTAAGACAAACTTTAAACAGCATCCGGTTACTAAAAAATAGCCCAACCGGGAATTTACATGGCGCGCGCGTTATTAAGGAGTTTCCCTCTSTTATTTATTCTCTCTTGTTTTTGCTGAGTCTCTTGAGTTTCGTGTTCTGTAAAAATTAGTTGCGCAAGATAATTTAAGTTTATAAAGAGTAATTGCGTCCTTTTTTTAAATAATAAAGCAGATGCGCAAGTTATTCACGCAGATTCTTATACAACGATCAAAAGAGGCATGACTGATCCCAGTCAGGCTGAGACTGACGAGGTGAGTTATCTTTAGAATAATGTGCCTTTAGGCAAAGACACTATAGAGGGAGGGGAAGTCGCGGGGAGAAAACTGGAAAAAAAMCCCGGAAATTCCGGTTGGAAAATAAGTGGTATGCATAATTCCGATCGGAAAGTTCCGGAAAACTCGGTCTTCCGATTGAGGTAATTCTCTTTTCCCGCTCTTTTCGGTACTTCCGGTAGACGCGTGTTCCATTTTTCGAAAGTCAAAGTTTCCCGCTCTTTTCTTTCATTAGCGAATGAATTTCCAACCGGATGGATTGGTTTAAATGGTAAGCACACCAAGTAGCGGGGACAACGGCAGGCGTAGCTCAGTTTGTTAGTGCGCGACCTTCAGAGGTTTAATTCGCGTGTCAATTCTCARGATCTCCACGTCTGTTTCGACTTCTCTCTGTTCTGTGTAGCATTAGCTTTGAATTCCCGTAATAAGGAGCATGCGCACTGATAGTCTGATGAGGTAAAGGGCGCACCTCCAAGCGCTTTATACATGAACCCCTGGCTAGGGAGAATTGAGCAACCACTCCYCGCGTTATCGCAGTAAAAATTTAGCTTTACATTTTTTTGAATAGATGTCTTTTCCTTGGGCGTAATATTTTCCCATTTCAGACCAAGTGTCATTCTTTTGAGAATAAGATTCTTGGCTTGAGTCGTACCCATATTCATGTGTCTTCTCATGCGCAACCGTTAAACAAAGAAATGATGCTCTAGGGAATGACACGTGGTCTGAAATGGAAAAATACAAATGGGATTTTAGTGGCTTTCCACAGACAGTGGCTCTACATTCACTGAAATTCCAATTAGAATTTCATAAACCAAGGTTTATAAATCCAATTTATAGAAATCTCAGATCTCCTGATTTCGTTGCGACACAAGTTACTCAGCGAATCTATATAGTCTTCCCAATTTCCATGACGACTCTTACGTGTTATTTTACATCATAGGGTGACGTACAAGTCATGCCATTAAACATCTACACAGAGTTAATCGCTCTCAGGACAAGAGAGTTTATAACTCCTCTCTCATCGACTACGACACCGGGGTCTCTATGTAAAGTTCAAGGTAAGATCATTGTAATTTTTTTTACTTGCTCTTATTCAAT